GGGCAATTATGATTGGTCATTTTTTTAATGGTAGTAACTTTTGTATTCTGCTTAATTGGTTACCAATATTTTATTACGAACATTTTCATTTAGATATTAATTTAGTTGGCTATTACACTGGTATAAAATCTTAACATTATTATTATTTGTTTACTGTATATTGATTTTATTACATTTTTATTTATAACCTTTATAACATTATAAATTTTATAAATTTTATAATTTTATAAATTTTAAATCTATTAGCTTTACCTTACTTTCTATACATCATAACTGGAACTATAGTTGGTTATTTCTGCGATTATGCAATTAATCAATTAAAAATTCACGTTTTAAATGTACGAAGATCTGTTTTTATAATTGGAAGCCTTGGAATGTCATTATCTCTATTACTTGTAAGCATACAAAATTTTTTGGTTTATTTTATTTTTAATTTTTTTTCTGTTACTTATATATATAATTTACAGGTAACATATTGGGCAAAAACATCTCATGAAGGATTATTGATAATGTCGATAGGATATGCATTATATTCATTCCATATCTCGGGTTTATGTGTATCTCAAGTAATTAATTAATTAATTCACTTATTCATTTATTTATTGTTATTAATTTACTAATTTAATATAAAATCAAACTCTGTCAATTATAGTTGGATATTGCACCAAAATATGCCGGTGTAATATATGGTTTAGGAAATACTTGTGCAATGATACCAGCTTTTTTTGGTATAGCATTAACCGGTTGGATATTAGAAGTTACTGATAATGATTGGAGCATTATTTGGCGTATGTGTTCCTTATTCTATATAATTGGGACCTCATTTTTTGTTTGTTGGGCTGGTGGCGAGGTAATAATTGATTGATGGGGAATAATAGTGATTAGAAATGGTGATTTAGGTATGATGATTTAGAAATGATGATTTAGGTTATATAAATATGTCCTATAATCTAAATTTGCTTATATGATTAACCCGGTGTAGAATTAATATAACTGTCTTTCAATATTCTTATGTTTTATAGCTTCGAGTTGGAATTTTATTTTGTACTGCAGTTTAAATTTTATTTTGTACTGCAAAATGTATTGATGCTACATGCTAATAAAAAATGTAAACAACGGTAATGTGCTCATTCTGAGCATTCTGAATGTATCATTTTTCACATCAGATTTAGGATAGTTCCTGGTCTGTCGGCTTGTATGTAGGGTAGGAGGCACGGGGTCCCTGGGCATGCCCCATGGGCATGCCTTTGGGCCAAAAGGCATGCCCATATCATGTGATCACAAAGAAATAACGGCGCATATGATTGGCTAATGTAAATCTAATGTAATTTATTGTAAATACTGTATTTTACAAATGCAACTACTTATAAATGCAAGTCTTATACCAACTTCTAATGATTCCCAAAATAATTTATCTCGACCTCTTTGCGCCTTCTGCATAATATTAATGGATAATAATTATCTCGCAATCTTATAATCAGCATTACAATCACTGTTCTGTCTGCACAATACTACCGTAATAACTATCTCGCGACCTCAATAATTAATGTATAACAATTACCTTGCAATCTACAATAATCAACCCAATTATGGAATTCTCTAATTTG